AAATAGAAATAATATTATAATAAAAGTTTCAACTACCTAACTATGCATATTTTAAAATTTAAAATTATGTAAATAAGAAAATATAAATAAGAAAAATTTTAATATTATATTACTATATTTACAATCAATTATTAAATATTCCAAGTTAAATCTAATAAAATATTTATAAGACTAACTCGATTATGTGACGATGTTGGCGTACGCAGTCACGTAGAGTATTCTGGCCATTTATAAGACCCTTCAAACGGTATTGTAAGATCGTAATTTGACAGCACACATGCAATAACAAACCAACAATGAGACCGTCACAGGCAACGCTAACAAGACATGCGAATAGCAGACCTACGTATTGATGAGCATATGTGAGACAAAATAGCACAAACGATGAGTAATCATACGGTATCCATCCTCTAAATGCTAATTGCCCCTTTTTGAAATTTGTTAGTAACGATCTCAAAACATGGCCTGCGTAAGTGATCATAATCAATATGGTATAGCACTTTGTCATGTTCCTTAAAAAATGAAAATATGAAAAGTAATAATGCTGCCTTTATTTCAAAACAAAAATTATTAGTTAATTGAAAAGATAAATAATAATTCTCCTGCTTTTATATATATAAAATTTATTAAAAATATATAAATAATACAAATATAATAAACAATTGAATTGTACATATACATAATATTTATAGCATTAATAATATTAAAAGACGATGTGACAAACATCTTCGAGAAGGAATATTTTGATAATATTCTAGTTTTGTAATTATCTTAATGTTCCATATTTATAAAATTAATATGACAATTAGTATTTTCCAAGATTCTTTTTAGTAATTATAAACTATTAGTAATTATAAATTATTAGTAATTATAAATTAAATATAAATCAAGACGTAATTTTTTTTGTACTCACTGTATTATCATGTTGAATTTTCGTTGAATTTCGATTTCAAAAAGTAGTAATGGTTTAAACGTTCTTTCCGTAAGATTTTGAATTAATTCCGCGAAACTCTCATGATTCACAAACAGATCGAGTATTTTATAGTCTGCAGCAAACATGGTCAACATCGCGTATAGAGTATTAGTAAAATCATTTGGATTATCAACGTTCAGGATGATATCCATAAATTGTGAAAATGTAAAGCTGTACATGATACTAATTACTAATAATGTATAGGCATCATATAACGTATGTTTGATCAACAAAATCGACGAGAAAGGTCGCCAGCATCCAGCGATTGTGAGAATTGCGAGTGTGAATTTTAGCGAGTTCATATCTTCTAAGTAAAATATTCTTTAAATTTCTAAACGTATAAAACGCCTCTTTTTTTAAAAAATTTTCACAATTGCATTAATCTGATATGTACAACACATGATCAACTATGTAATTTGTGTTGTAACGTTTTGAGATGCTCTTTGTATGCTCCATTCATATTTGTGTTACGTGTTATTGTCGTCAGTCACGAATTAGCTGAGAAGATATAGATTTTACAACGTCTATAGTTCGCGATATTTTTACTGAATTTTCCTCTCAAATATGTAACATCATAATATCAAATCTAAACTGATATTTTCTGTGAATTGACGATTTCATAATAATTCCATTCTTCTACCTATATATAATAATATAATATAGTTATTGACAATAGTTCAGATGTATGAAATTTTGATACATTGTTGTACTCGGTCATTATAAAATATTTTATTCATTGTCTGCGACTTCAGTTTTCTTCAGTCTGACGTTCCGTGTTTTTTTCTCGGTATCTGTATGCATTTTTTATTAAGTATAAATGCGGAAAGCATGATAGTCTCAATGTATTCAATTCTGCAACGTAAACACATGACACATTGTATGATATTTGTATAATAATCGAAGTAATTTATTCCTCATAATCATTTCTACAGGATTTCTTGCCTTTACAATTATATTGACATTATATGTCTTTTTAAATAAGTAATTAGATATATATAGATAAGAATTTTGTAGAAAAAAATATAATCAAATTCCAATCGGACAATGACGGTATTTATGATATCGGTATCTTTAACATTTCATTTTATAGATATCTATCTATAGACGGTGTCTTTTTCCGCTTACAAACCCTTATTCAATATTCATTATTCAATATTCATTATCATGTAGAAACGATGTAGAAACATCGTATTTATTAACAAGATATTTTTTTTTTAATTTCAGATTGAGCTTTTAGTGGGAATCTTTTGACTGTAGTGTCTTATGCGCCATAACGAATCAACATAATAAGCGATTCTCATATGAAAAACGAGATATTGAAACAAATGATGGGTTTTTGTTGTCTGTTTATAAATGGTCATTGATCTGTCTCCAATTTTAATGAAGGTAAAGTTTACGTTGTCTAAATGTTCTTTTAGTTTTTCTATTATTATCTTAAAATTTTGACCAGAAGTCATGAATATTAAACCTTTTTATAAATTTTGTTTATTTTAATATTTTACTTTTTAACCATAGTATAAAGAACTAAATACAGGGTTCTTCTAGCAAGATAAAAATTTCCGTCATAACAATAAAGTCATATGTATATGTATAATTAATATGACGATGAAATCATATATATATGTATTCTTATAAATATATGACTTCACGGTTTCATTAGTATAGAAAAACTCTGTATTTAAATCTCACATAAGTTACATTACATAGTTAAAAAATAAAATTATCTCAAAGCAAAAGTTACACTCGAATTTAATAGTTTAAGTTGTTTTTTTAATATGATAATTAACTAATGTAGGAATGCTTTTGAAACTTAATAAAATGATAAAATTTTTATGACACTAAGTCGAAATATTTAACATTATACAAGTCAAATAATTAATGAAGTCATTAGGATCATTAATGTTCATTATATAGACTCACAAGAGTCTATTATTTGCATGAAGGTATATAACATATTTAGTACTAATTACGTATAATCTATAAATATTATAATTATCTGTTTGAACAAAGATGTCTTCACGATTGTGATTGGAAACAGCGATCATAAAAATTGTACATGTCAATTTCATAATGTGCATAACAAATGATCAGAAGAAAAAAAAAATATATATATATATATATATATACAAAATGTGTCTTAATGACTTATGATAAATAACACTGAAAAGATTGGTTGCAGTCATATAAAAATGCTATGCCATATTTTACTATCTAGATTGTTGCAGCAACCAATTTTTTTTTTCAATGAAGTATAGAACTTTTTAACGATTCTTCAAAATGATTTTATTCTGAAAAAGTCACATGAAAAGATATAAAATATAATTTCAAAAAGATGTATTATATCTAGATATAATTCTTTGACACATTACTTTGTCTGACGATATTTTGTCTCTTTTGTTCTACATATTTAATATCTATATCTTCGTAATAAAGTTTTAACAGAATTTCTCTTTCCGTTAAGAATAATATCAAATTTGCAATGATTGTCTATAATATATTTATGCAAGGTAGTTAATAAGATTACATCTGTGATCACTTTTTTTTTCCAAAAAAATGTACTTCTTTCATTTCTACATCTAGAAAATAAATAAATTTGTAGTAGGAAAAAGATAACACTTAAAACGTTCATCAATATGATATGAGATATGAGTAATCTTCATAATATGTTGAGGTGCGCTATTTATCGATACACAAAATACTTTTTTTTTATTATTTTTCACATTTAGAATTTGATGTATCTAGTATTTATACTCACGCAACGTAAGCAAACGAACGAATAACATTCATAGAACACATATAAGATAATTTATAAGACATTTATTGTCAAACAAAAAATTAATGTTCTTAATAATATCTACATGACGTCACATTTTTTGTATTTGCAATAATGTAATTAAATTTTAATATAATGTGTAATTTTTTTCCATTAGAAAAATGCATTATATATTTTAGACTCTCCAGTATTATCCTGTATATAAAAATATTAAAACAATGTTATTCAAAAATAAAATGTTTTATATTTTGTAAAAATAAATGTCTTTTCGTTTCATATTTTATTACATATTTTAAATACATTCTGATATAAAATACAAAATATTTAAAAGAAAATAGTCGTTATCAATTGCCAGAATATTATTTTTTCAGTCTTATCTTAATCAAAGCAACAATTATTTACATTTTTTGTAGATAAAAGATATTTAATATTTATTGTTAATCAGCATTTTACTATAATATTTATACATTATCATGTTATAATTAAATTAAGCATTAATAATAAAGATTTGCAATTTTTTACTTGCCTTTGTACTATTATTCCTGTATTTGGATTAACAAATTGTAAACAGAATATGACGTTTTAAGCAACTGTAATTATAAATATATTTAATTTGTTTAAAAGTCTTTGAAGGAATTATAATTAAAATTTATATTATAAATTATTATATTACGTTTTGTAATTATTAATCATGATGTTACTTATAATAACATGTATGTATTATACATTATAGAGAAAAATATCTTTATCAATTCGAAAGTCTTAATCAAAAAGTTAAAAAGATAAAAATTTTTTAGCTAATGATTGCTCTACTTTCGGATAAAGTATGTGGTCAGTAATTTACCTAATGGATAAAAAAGGGAATGAGAAATAGATATCGCATGAAAGCAAGGACGAGAGAAAAAATTAGCTGACAATGAGATTTATTGTGAAAAGTGGAATAAGTTTTTAAAAATTATATTTCGTAGCATTTTATAAAATTTAACTTTTTTACTGTATGTTTTTTATACTCACCGCAACAAAAGAATTTAAATTCATATTAAAAATGTATGCACTGTGAAATTCAATAGGTTTCATTGCGCGAATCATAATAATCAAAAGGCTCTTTTTAGTTTTATGGTCCAATGCTATCCATTCTATTTCGAAAATACTATCGATCAATTGAAGGCTCTATAAATTTATAATATATGTATTAAATTATTTCAATGTATTAAATGTTTTTCTCTTCTCTTTATAAAAAAACATAATAATAATATATATATATATATATATATACATATATTGTTTGTATATATATATATATATATACATATATGTACTTATACATGTAAATATGCACAATATAATTTGAGTAAAATGTATGCATACCATCAGTTTAAGTTTATTTCCAAACCAGCAATAAATAAAAATTTGCACAAGTACACAAATTGTGTATGCAAAAAGAATAATTAAATCTACTATTAATTTTGCTCTAGTTAATTGATACAAGTTCGAGCAGACTACGAATGTACTTGCTACAAATTGAAATGCAATGATTCTCGTGAATTTCTCGTTAGTCGTGTATGCAAATCTGCAAATAATTATTTTTATCCCAAGCTATTAAAACTAATCGTCTTAAAAAATTAAAAGATAAGTCATTATGTTCCATAAAGAAAGATTAATATATTTTGAGGTAATGATCATTTTAAATAAAATACTCATAGTCAAATGTGTGCTCTATTCCTAATGGTTTTCAAAATAATTTAAACCATAAAGTGTTCCAAAATTTTTACAAATTTTTTAAAAACTTTAAAATTTTTTTTTCAAACAATGAATTATTAGAAAATATATCTCTTTCTTAATTTTGCAACAATTTTGGAAATTTTTCAGAATGGGATATACGTTTATATAAACATTTTTCGAAAATCTTGGAAACACAAAATAGCATATATTCATATGAACATCTTTGCTTAAAATGACCAATATCATCATCTCCTAGAATAATGACTTTTTCTTTTAGAACATGTATTAATAGTCAAAAGAAGATATAAAATACTAAGATAATAAATTTAACATCGCAATTCAAGAACAAATATGAGTATGACATGTAACCGTGTAAATACATATAGGAATAAGTAAATTACAATCGAAATAATATTATAATAGAAGATCCAACTTTTAAGATTTCGAAACATGCCTCGTATAAATAAGAAAAGTTTTAGGATTATATTACCAAATTTAGAATTAATTAATTTTCTCTAAGATTAAATCTAACAAAAAAATGTTTTCCTAAGACTAACTCGATTATGTGATGATGTTGGCGTACACAATCATCCAGAGTATTTTGACCAGTTATAAGACCTTTAAAACGATACTGTAAGATCATAATTTGACAGCACAGATGCAATAATAGACCAACAATGAGACTGTCACAAGCAACATTAACAAGAGATGCGGATATCACGCCTACGTATTGATGAGTATACGTAAGACAAAATAGCACGAACGACGAGTAATCATACGGTATCCACCCTCTAAGTATTAATTGCCTTTTTTTGAAACTCGTTAGTAATGATATCACGAAATGGCCTGCGCAAGTGAGCATAATCAAAATAACATAACATATTGCAATATTCCTACAAAACAAAACAAAAAATTTTGCCTTTATCTCGCAAAACGAAATTTATTTCAATAGAAAAATATTTTCTTATATTCTCTAAATATAAAATTTATTGAAAGTATACAAATAATACAAAAATTTAAATATACAAATAATACAAAGAATTTAAATATTATTTACAACGTTAGTAATATTAACAATCTGTGGGAAAAAGTCTTTAAGAAAAAATGTGATAATTTTCTAACTTTTCTTAACTTTTTTTAATAATTTATGTTTATAAATTTAATATTTTAATTATTATATCAGCAAAATTTTATAATTGCTTCAATAATTCAAATAATTCAAATAATTTTTCAAATTAAGTATAAATCAAGATATAATTTTGTACTTACTGAATCAACTTGTCAAATTTTCGTCGAATTTCAATTTCGACAGATACTAATGGTTTAAACGTTCCTTCCGTAAGATTTTGAATTAACTCCGCGAAACTCTCATGATTCATCCATAGATTGAATATTTTGTAGCATGCAGCGAATATGGCCAACATCGTGTATACAGTATTAGTAAAATCGTCTGGATTATCGGCGTTCAGAACAATATCCATAAATTGGGTGAATGTAAAACTATACATAAGACTAATTATTAATAATGTATAGGCGTTATATAATATATGTTTTCTGAGTGATGTCCACGAGAACGGTCGCCAACATCCAGCGATTGTGAGAATTACGAGTGTAAATTTCAGCGCGTCCATACCCTCTATATAAAATGTTCTTTAAATTTCTCAATAAACGCCTCTTTTCTTTTTTAAAGCAATTTTCACAATTGCATTAATCTAATATGAACAATAACATGATTAACTATGTAATTTGTGTATAACGTTTTTGAGATGCTTTTTGTGTACTCCTTTAATATATGTGTTGCGTAATATTGGCGTCAGGAGTTCGCTGTGGAAATATAGACTTTATAGCGTCTATAGCTTGCGATATTTTTATTGAATTTTCCCCTCGAGTAGTAAGTAACATCATTATTGTAATAATAAACCCGGAATAATGTATTCCGTGAATTGACATTTTCGTGAGAATTCCAATCTTATACCTGTATAGTAGTATAAGTTATTGATAAAAGTTCAGAGAGAGAGATGTATGGAATGTTGATATATTGTTGTACTTATCCATTATACAATATTTTATTCATTGTTGTCGCTGTATGCGACAGTTTTATTTTTCCTTAATTGGTATTTCAATCTTTTTCTCGGTACGTGTATGCATTTTTTAATAAGTATAAATCAATATGTGTGTGCATTTTTTAATAAGTATAAAGAATAAGAAAAGCAAAGGCTTTAATTTATTCATTTACACAACTGTTTTCTTTATTTTTTCTGATGTATCTTCTGAATTGCTTCTTGTACACAAATGTTAATCCAATTTGTTTGATGATCTTTCTTTGAAGATCTTAATTTCCTGTATCTTGTAATTTTCTGATCGTATAATATATGCTTTGTAATTTTTTAAATACTTATAAAATCTAACTCTATGTATATTTGAATTTTTAATAATAATCATTTAATAATAGTCTTCAATTTTTATGATAAAAAACAGGTAAAAGCGTAATATCAAAAAAATATAGATAAGCAAAACTTCTTTATTTATATGCGTAATATTTGAAACTTGCAAGACATTTTTACACTTGACGTTCCTTGATACTTATATTTAAATACTTTCTATCCTTGCTTAGCCATTATCATTATTCTTATTTTGTTTGTTTAAGTATATTATATACTGAATACGACATCTTAAGAAGCTATAGAATATATCAATACGTAATTACGTAACATTATTTAACTCAATTGCTTACTTCTTAATAAACCGGCGGCACAAGACACTTGTTTTTCCGCTAAATTCTTAGCTAAATTAGATTCTTGCTATTGTATTAGTTACAATACTGACAGAATCAGCAGATAATATGGCAAGAATTTAATCCATCTAATAATTCAACAAGAAAACAAGTATCATGCCGCGCAACTTTGTAGTTGTAAAAATATTCTCTAACCTTCACGAATGAATCTAGATTCACCGTAAGAATATGGGCACTAGAAAATTCGATTGGTATCAGAGAACGATTCATAATCATTATAAGGTTTTCTCTTACTTTTCGATGTGCTGTTATCCAATCCATTCCGAAAATTTCATCGGAAAATTGAATGCTCTACAATAGAAGTTATCAGAAAAATATAGTTACATATGTAATATTCCTTATTGCAACTATAAGTAATATTTAATATATAATATATTAATATAAATGTTAAATTTAAATTTAAAATTATGTTTCTTATTCTATTATTGATGTGATGCTGGGATTTTGTTATCAACATTTTTTTATAGATCAAAACGCATTTAATATATATACACAAAATCAATACCTTTAATTTTATTTCGTTCCCGTACCAACAATAAATAAGAATTTGCGAACACATACAGATTGTGTATAACATCAGTGGAATATATTTTGGGCTCAATGTGGTTTTCGCCAATCGATAAAGATTAGAACATACCACTAGCATACTTGCGATGAATTGAACGGCAATTATAATTCTGAACTTTTCATTTATCGTGTATGCAAATCTAGAAAAAAGAATAATATTATTATCCTTGAAATGATTATTATTGCTCGTGACTAATTAAATATTATGATATTTTGAATTGAGTTTAACAATTATTATCTAATTGATAAATAAAATTCAATAATATTCAAACGCGCATAATTGTAAGTAAAATATAAAAAAACTCTGTATTCGTGCGCGCGCGCTACGTTGTATGTTCTGTATCTTAAGATTAAGAGAAACATTTAAGTATATAAAATTCTATACAAACACTAACTTGTAGATATGATTGTGATGACGTACACATTCAACCAAATTGCCTCGATTGCGCAAGGATTTTCTCACACGACACTCTAAGATCTTGATTTGGCAATAAATATGTAGCAACAATCCACAAATCATTATATCGCAAGCAACATTCACGATCGACGCAGCCGTTAAGCTCATTAATTGACGAAAATATGTGAGATAATACACTGTATCGGACCACTCGAAGGGTATCCATTCTCTATACGCTAAATTTCCTTGTCGGAAATCCGTAAGCAAAGACGTTAAATTCATGCAGCCGCACGTTATCTCAACAAAAATCGTGTAGATTATAGAATTGGTCCTGCAAAATGACTATGGAGGCTGGACTAATTCACGATGATTTTGTTTTGTATTTTTCTCCTTTAATTAAAAAGAAAGAAAAAAATATATTTCCTACTTCTTTTGTAAAATAACAAAAAGATTTTGTTTATTTATTATTTATTTTATAAATAAAAAGCATCTTGTATTTGCCGTTTTTGTCAATTAAATTTAAAAAATGCAAAATAATTATATAAATATGTAACGCTAAGATATTACAATATATATTAGAACTCTCTCTAATGTAAACAGAACCATGAGACAATAAAATTAATGCGAATCTTTTTATTCCTTAAATGAAAGCAACTCCTTACCGTATTATGTTATTATATTTTTGTCGAATTTCAATTTCATCTGATTCCAACGGTCTAAACGGTTTCTCAACCAATGCGTCAGTTAATATCTCGATATTCTTGCGATTTAGCAATAGACTAAGCATCTTGCAGCAAGCGATAACCATGGCTAGCATTATGTAAAAAGTATCCGTGAAATCGTCCGCATTATTGACATTCAGGATAATATCCATAAGTTGTGGCAACATGAAAGTGAGCAATAGTAAGCACATGAAAATTGTATATACATTATACATTGTCCGTTTCCATAATGAAGACCAGGAGACTGGTGGCCGACATCCTGCTACTGTGAGGATTTTCAATGGAAATTGCATAGCTTGCATTTCTTGAAATATCTTTTATTCGCTCTCTAATTTAAAATAAAACACTTGTTTTATGTATACTATATATATATATATATATATATGTACTATTGCATATGCTTACACAAGAGACATAATTATGTGATGTAATTATGAAAGATATAGAAAATATTATCTGCTTAAACTAAAATTTTTTTAGATAAATAATTTTATTTAAAAAAAAACAATTTAAAATATTTATACGAAAATTAACTAAATTTATTAAATTTATTAAATAATAACATTGTGTAATTTAGATTTTATTTTTATTTTTTAATCTTATATATATTTTTTTTATCTTTACGCAATTTTACTTTTTATAAACACAAAATATATTTATTGTTGTGTAGAAAGCAAAATAATCCAGATATATTTAACACTGTTTATTGTGGATGATGATTTATACATCTATATCTAGGCGAAATAGGTGGGAGGGAGGAAGGAAGGGACCTTGCCTTTGTATGAACAGTAGCCTTCGTATCGTTCACTGGAAAACTTGACTTCATTCACTTTCTTCTCATTGGCTCAATTAATTTTGAGGAATGCTGAAGATTAAAAGAGTGTCTATAATTATATAACGATTTTCATAATCAGTCGTGACCGTTGTCATAGTTATCAAATTAGACATAGATTGTCCGTATTATTTTTCGTATTACTTTTACAATAATTTGTGGCACGGAACATTTTATATTGTAAATATAAGATTGGTAATTGAATTAACTTCAATCACTTGTATAATTATCTAATTTATTTAATTGATATTGAGTAAGCAAAATAAATATTGCGCAGAAATGCATTTTATTCATTAACTTTAGAAAATAATATTCAATGATATAAATAACATACACAAATAAAAAATTTCAAGTAATTTTATATAAATAAAAAATTTCAAGTAATTTTATATAAACATTATACATTGATTTTAAAGCAATTTACGGAACTTCGACAAATCTTACATGTCTATAGACACGCAACAGTACTTTCTGCATTCATTGTTCTCTTTGTAGCCCGTAGCAGAGAACCACATATGTCATCATAATAATTATATGTATACGTAACTTGTAATATATTCCGACTGGTAATAATACTTTTGTAAAATAATATGCATAGTTGTGTGTCTTTTTTGCGACTTTTATAAACTGTTAGGTAATACATTAAAATGGTTTAAAGAAAAAGAAACTTGTCGACAACGAAATCTTTAAACCATAAATTAAGGTGTGTCACCATGAAATTTTAATGTAAGTAATCTATACTTACATATAAAAAACATGGAATTTATTATTGTCGTCAGTTCCACCTCTGACTGTCATTATTAATTCTGTTACTCATATTGATCGATAATTCTGGCAGGATACAAGCGGTTAAAAGAGCTTATTAAATATACATATATGGGTAAAGCGAATATACATGCTGTAATATCTGCAGTTAATTCTGAGCTAGTCAAAATATTGCACAGAATTGCATTTTATCTATTTATTTTGGAAAATAATAACCACATATATACGTATATTTTGGAAAATAACCACATATTATATGTATATAATAATAATATTATACGTATATAAAGTGAGGAGAGGAAGAGAGAGAGAGACAGAGAGAGAGAGAGAGAGAAAGTGTCGAAAAAATCTTATATTGAAAATTCTCCACATTGAAAATTAAATAAAGTAAAAATGTTTAAATAAATAAATAATAGAAGTAAAAATGAAGCAGTATAAATTATAGAAGATTGTAAATAAAAATTTAATGAAAAAGAAGCACATAATAATCAATCATTCTTATTTAATTATTTGTTATCTTGTCTTGTTTAATAATTTATTATATAATAGATAATAGGAAACTTAAATGATTAATAACATTAATCATACAGATAACTTAATTAGAAAATACGATTCCCTAGTTTCTATACTATCTTCCATTTGAATTATGTTGTTTATATTTGTTGTAATATATTATAAGCCGAGTATGACGTTTTAAGTAACTGTAATAAAAAGGTAAATCTTTTTTCAAATTTATTTTGTAATTGCTAATTTTGTAAAAAAATATTAAATTATATTGCCAAATAATAAAATATGTGTAATACATAATTACTATAATCTCCAAAAAGATTTATGAAGTAATTAGCAGTGAAAAATATAAAAAAAGCTCATCAAAGTGCTTACATCAGTTGCTCGAATGCATAGAAAACTCTTTATTTCCATGTGCATAATAAAACAAATAAAATAAACGTTTCGACTCTTCATTTCGGGGCTTTATTAATAAATTGAAAATATAAATCGAAATTATATAAGTAACGCAAATTCCAAGATAGTGACAGATTCCCGACAATTTAGCTCGTTTTTCTTTATCCAAAGAAATTAGCTTTTATATAAAAAGGATAGTATGTAATACAATAGTATAACATGATTTAAAAAATAAATCAAATGTTTTTTGAATGTCATAAATTTTTAGTGTATGAATTATAAAAAATGATATCTATTACATTTTTAATAAAATGTATGCTATTATTAATTCATAATTAATTATTTAAACAATAGACTTGTTATACTCACGCTCACGAAAGAATTAAGATTCATCGTAAGAATGTACGCGCTAGAAAATTCAATAGGTATTAACGATCGATTCATAATTATTAATAAACTCTGTTTTCTGTTTTGCTTCATTGTTAACCATCTCATTCCAAAGATATTAACGATGAGTTGAACACTCTATATTAAACAATATGTACATAAATTAAAAAACGTTATACAAAATTCTTAAAATGGAATTGCAATTAATATTTTCTTATATCAATTACAGAATTTTTTATTGTTAAGATAGTTTTTCGTAAACTGAAAATTTTATTCCTAAAATCGATGGATGGAATATTTGTAATAAGATTAACAATTTTATATCTAGAAAGTTTTCAATATCGTAAATATTGAATAAATTATATAACACTGCCTGTTCAGCTTTCTGAAATATGCACCTTTAGTTTTACTTCGTTTCCATACCAACAATAAATGAGAATTTGTGTGAGCATGGAGCATGTGTATAATATCAATGGAAAGCATTGCGCAATCAATGTCATCTTTGCTAATTGATACAAATTGGAACATACCACCAGTGTGCTCACAATAAATTGAATAGCGATAATTATCTTGAATTTTTCATTCACCATTAATGCAAATCTGCAAAATACAAACATTTATAATATACTTATTTATTTAAAATATAAATTTATTTGAATATAAATTTTTGCATTCAAAATATTTTTAGAAGATATTTATACAGAGTAAAAAATTTTAAATATAATGAATCGAATACTATAAAAAATACGAAACAAAAAATATGAAAAAACATTTTAGACAATAGTTGTATGGCTTAAAAGGGTACAAATAATGATAAAATTAATTTTTGAAAAAAAAATTTTTCGTAGTCATATCTCTATCTTTTTAAATGGAATTATATGATTTATATATATATATATATATATATATATATAATTCCTCTAATTATTTTGTTTATAAAAATATAAACACTGTACAGGCCGAATACTCAATAAGAATTAAAATTACGCCAATGTGGCGTCATCGTCCATTTGCTTTTCAATTTTCCAAATATTTTCTCACTATTTTACAATCTGCAAGATTGTCAAAGAAACTAACTTAAATATACAATCGTGCTGACGTACACATTCGCGCAAATTGTTTTGGCCGAGGAAGTTCTTTTTCAACCGACACTCCAGTATTTCGAGCTGACAGCATACGTGTAATAATAAACCACAAATCAGACTGTCGCACGCAACATTCACCATAGAGCCAATAGTCGAGCTTATTAATTGACGAGCATATATGATATAGAATATCACCTCGGATGTGTAGTTATACGGTGTCCACTCTCTGTACGTTAAATTACCTTTTCGAAAATCGGTGAATAATGATGTCAACATGACGCATGCACATGTTGTCTCGACTAAAATTGTGTACCATAATGTATTCGTTCTACAAAATAGATGAGCAGATTGTTTTTTTATATTTTTCATTAAACATTTTACATTAAATATTTTTCTTTGCGCTATTATTCTATATAAATTAATTATTTTTACTAAATTTTTGAAATATTTTTATACATTATTAAAGCGAGAACTTTTTATATACTTACTGTATTGTTTTGTCGAATTTTTGGCGGATTTCTATTTCGTCAGCCTCTAATGGGATAAACGGTTTCTGAGTAAGAATATTGGTTAATATCCCTATATTGTTGCGATTTATCAAAAGACCGACCATTTTACAACAGGAAATAATCATGGCGAGCATAATGTAGAAAGTATCCGTAAAATCGTTGGCATTGTTGACGTTCAAAACGATATCCATAAGTTGTGGCAACATGAAGGTGAAAAGCAGTAATATTATAGAAATGGTATATATGTTATATATAGTACGTTTACACAATGAGGTCCATGAATTTGGTGGCCAACATCCCACAACCGTAAGAATTTTTAATGTAAATTTAAGAACCTGCATTTTCCGTGATTTAATGTCACTTTCAATGTTAATAACGTTTTATTAAATTATTCTTATTGCTGTAATTTATGTAAATTGTACGTGTGATTAAGTATATTAATATCGATAACGTTTCCTCCTCTTAATTAATAATATTATTAAATACTAATAAACTATTCTCACAAAATATTAAATGTTGACTGATTATCATATACGACACGCTCTTTCGACGAAGATATTTGTTTAACATATAAGTAAAATAATACAATAATATAAATAAGATTCACGTGTCATATGTGAATGTACTTAATTTTGTAGAACATGAGAAATTTAAGGTACAAATCAATAATAAAGTTTCTTCACATATATAAAATAAAAAGGTTTTTTTCTTTGATATAGTATCATGAACCAACTTTGCGAAATTCTATGCGACGAATCTCGGAATATCTATAGCCTCATGATATGACTTTCTGGAAGCAATACTGCTCTTCCCCTCCGCGCTTAATAACTATATAATTATCGTAATACTAAACTCGCAATATCATTCCCTATTTTCCTGCTACGGTTTGCATGTACGTACATTTTTATCAAATACAAACTTTATATGATACTATACTTTATATGATACAACTATGTGATATAATAATACAGCGAGAAGAAAAAAAAGCAGTAAAAGAAAGCAGTAAGTCGTAGAAACTATTAATGAACCATGAATTGTTTTATCTTTGTAAAATCGTAATATAAATAACCCACCAATTTACTTACTTATAGTAAATATTTATCAATGTTGTTGACGCTGCATTTGCCATTCGTCTCAAATTCTAATTTCTAATTCTATTTCGATTTGAACAGTCATAATCTCTAACAAAATATAAATAGGAAAAACTTTTTATAAATGCACATGCATCTATATTTATTTTGGATCTGTTGTGTTATACATGAACAGGATTAATGGTATTTCTTATTATACATATATTGAAGCATCTATTTTTTTTAATTAAAAAAAAATATTCTCAATCTTCTCCTCAACATATCGTATAAAAAAAAAAATTATTAAAAATAATTATAATAGAATACATATAAGCAATTGTCATTTATTTATCCATAAATGAAATACCAGTTGTGATACAAACTTCTACAGATATTTTTATTAACAATAAGATGACGTATTGGAAAACATTTTAGTAATCTCAATTTTTTCATTTTGTCTTTTACTTACGATTTCTATACTTGTTTTAATATATTATAAGCAGAATATGATGTTTTAAGTAACTGCAACAAATGTATATAAATCTTATAATCCATTTTTTTTACAATTCTTATCAGTCTAACATACATAAACAATATATTATCTTCGTAAACTTAGTGTTGTATCAAAATTATTTTTATATATATTTTTATATATATTAACTTCTATATAAATTATTCATTTTCTTATTTTCCATAGTTAGATAAAATATATTTTAACCAAAAATAAAATTTATTATTAATTGCGCTAATAATAAATAAAATTGAAAATTAATTTTTTACTAACCCCAACAAAAGAATCGAGATTCATAGACAGTACGTAAGCGCTGGTAAATTCTATTGGTACTGCTGCACGACTCATAATTATTAATAAATTTCTTTTCAGATTTCTGTTCATCGTCATCCAATTTATCGCAAAAACGTTGTCGAGTAGTTGAATGCTCTATATTTCAAACATACAAATTATCAATTAATTTTTAAAAATTAACAAATTTAATTATTTTGAACCATAAACAGTATTAATCCATTAGAATTAACAAATTTGATTACAAAGTTTGTGTATTATTACATAAATTTATTTACTTAAAATTTATTGACTTTAATATTAAATTATGTATACTTTACTGGGTTTTTAAAACCAAAAAATGCGTAACAACTTAATTACGCACACCTTTAACTTTACTTCGTTTCCGTACCAACAATAGATGAAAATTTGTGTCAACATACAGGACATGTATAATATTAAAGGAAGATAGCTCGCATTTAAACTCGTTGATTTAGTCATTTGGTATAAATTGGAACATACTACCAATGTACTCACTACAAATTGCATAGCAATAGTCATTCTAAATTTATTGTTTAATCTGAATGCATACCTGTAAAATTTATTACATAAATGACACTTTTCAAAATTTTTCAAGAGAAAATAAAATAGAAGATAAACATTATAACAATATGCAAAAAAATGTTACCAAAATGCTTCGAATCAGAATAAAATATACAAATATATAACAAAAAAATTTTTTTTATTAATGTGAGATTTTTTACTTTTACTTTTTTAGTAATATGTATATATTTGCAGAATATAAGATAAAACAACTAACTGCAATATACTGTCGTGGTGACGTACACAATCGCGAAGAGTACCGTCATTCGATACTTTGCTCAGTCGGCATTCTAAGATCTCGATTTGGCAGCAAATGTGTACCAACAATCCGCAAATGAGACTGTCACAGGCCACATTAACGAGTGATCCAGCCGTCAGACTAATAAGTTGATGAGCATATGTAAGACAAAATATGATGCTAGACGAATAATAATCATATGGTAGCCATGCTCTATATGTTAAATTTCCTTTTCTGAACATCGTGAATAAAGATGTCACAGTTATACATGCGCAAGTTGTTTCCACCAAAATCGTATAGTAGAGTGTGTTGATACTGCAAACTGTGGAGATAGTTACGCTTATTTATGTAACACAACTTCTAATATTTAATTATTAATTATCAAAATATAAAAATACTTGTAATTAGATGTTATTATTTAGTACTACGCGTTTATATATAATTTTCGTATAAAAAAAACAAAATTTATAATAGTTTTTCTAAATTAATTATTAATAAATTAATTATTAATTATCAATAAACTTATTTTTTAAAATAATCTGTAATTATGCGGTAAAACTTACTATATAAGTCTATCGAATTTATATCGAATTCTCATTTCGTCCATTTCCAATGGTCTGTATGGTTTTTTGATGAGTACATTGATTAACATATTAATATTCTTTCGATTCACTAATAAACTGAGCATTTTAGAGCACGAAACAACCGATGCCATCGTGGCGTATAAATTTTCGGTAAAATCTTCGGCATTGTTAACATTCCAGATAATGTCCAAAAATTGCGATATCAAAAAAGTATACAATAATACAATCATAAAAACCGTATATGCATTGTATATTATACGCAAGTAAAGTGACGAACATGATTGTGGCCGCCAACATCCAACAATCGTCAGAATTTTGAAGGTTAATTGCAAGACATGCATCTTTTATTTCACGTTAAGTCGTTTTCTTATATTTAAATTTCACTTAAATTTTTGTACAGTAATTGCAAATATCATATAGAAAAAATTATTTGCGAGATGTTAAAAAATATTTTGCACAAAATTTTATTTACTTCAATATTTCTAAAACTATGGCATCTTTAAAATAGATTAAGAAACAACGAATAAGACATTTTCTGAACGACAATCGTGAAACGTTTGTGTCTCTTCTTTTCTTGAAAGATTCTATAGTCTCTACTATTATGTTATTATCATAATAGTAGGGACTATGGAATCTTTCAAGAAAAGAAGAGACACAAACGTTTCACGATTGTCAGTCGGACTTGAATCATTGATCCCATAAATATATATTTATTGTTCCGTACGATAATAACAGTCTCTAAAATACAATGTTTATATTCTCTTTTTAGATAATGTTTTTATATTTCGTTACAAATATCACGTAAGAAACGGAAAAATATGAATATTCCGACTATTTTATCATAAATTAATAACTACTAAGTAACTCAATTATATCTGCATTTCTCAAGTTTAAAAAAATATCATTTGTCATGACCACTAAGTGTGTTGCTAAGTCGTTGCTATACATGATTCTATTTCCGTATTGATTTCAGGCACAATGATTTCTGACTTTCGTTAGAGGCAGATATTCAAATATATTACATTTATGAAATGTCATAAACGACAGAATAGGTAAGAAAGTACAAAATATATAATAGATATAAAATAGATGTTAATAAATATAAAATAATAAGGAAAATGTGCAACAAGATAAATACATTTAGATAATGTTTCTTTATTATTTTTAATCAGATAATTTGAATAATAAATGCTAATTATAAATACTAACAGTATAAATATACACTTTTTCCTTTTTTTTAGCTATTTTAAGATTTAATTTCATGAGTATATTTTTGCCATCAATCTTTTACAGAATTACACCCGTATTTTTTCAAGTAAGTTGTAAGTGGAATACGACGTCTTGAGTATCTAGAATTAGTGTATAAACACTCCTAATCTTGATTTAAATATATTCTGTAATTAATAAATTTAAAACTAATTTCACTAATAATATTAGATGTATTAGACTGTTGAATATTATTATATTATACAAGATGCTGAATCTGTTTTTGTTATTCCAAATTTTTATTTCTTGTGCATAATACAGTTTATTATTTAAATAAAATTAAATAGTTAAAATTTGCTTAAATTCAAATTTTTAGTTTATTTTAGTAGTATAATAAAGCTATATATATGAGCTGCATTTTTCTAAAATGCATTTTGTTCAAAATTTCATTTTTGAAGTTAAAGATGACATAATATTCAATGTTAAGAAATTCATATTTTAAGTTATTTCATATCATATTCTGAAAGCATTTTTATACCATCAATTTATGTGCTGAAAAAAATTTTGACATATAAAGTACATTATGTTCTGTAACTAGACACAATTAATTATTTAAAATTTTTAGCAACTATTTAGCAATTTTAAACATTTTACATCTTATTAAATGACTAATTGTTATTTTCTGTAAAGCACGCAGCTTTCTTGTAATTTTCTTTCGTGTCTTTGAAAATTATAAATTTTGGACAAAACATATTTAAAAATTCTACTCCTCATATATTATAAATATCTTAAATTAAAAACATATTTAAATATACTTGAAAATAGAATTTGGTGAAATTAGTTTCATTAATATCTATACTAACACCCATAAAGGAATCAAGATTCATAGGAATAATATAAGCACAAGTAATTTGAATAGGCACAATTGTCCGCCTCATTATTATTATTAGAGATTTCTTTTTATTTTTATTCAGTGTTAGCCACTCCATTTCGAAAATGTTATCGATCATTTGATGACTCTGAAATATATAAAATGTATCCATGGATGTAATTTTTGTTCAAGAAATGAAAGATAATCATGTTATTAATATATACCTCTTAAATATTGAAATATTTTAACAATATTATACCATTACATTTGTTATTAAATATAGATTGAATAAATTTGACATATTATTTTAAAGCATTTATACTTACCACATTTACTAAATTATCTATTACCATACCTTTATTTTTACTTCATTTCCGTACCAACAATAGAAGAAGATTTGTGTTAACATGCTAGATATATATAATGTCATTTCAATGTATTTGGCTTTTGTAGTTGTTTTGCTTATTTGATAAAGACTAAAGCATATTATCAATGTACTTGTTATAAATTGGATAATAATTATCAGTCTAAATTTCATATTTACAATATACGCAAGTCTAAAATTTAATTTTGATTATGTAACGACATATTATTAATATTTTACATATTTTAAAGTAATAAATCTGATAAAAACAGTATTATGATAAGAAGTATAATTTAAAAGCTGTGAGTATTACATAAGAATTTCTAAAATTTATAAAATTATAAGACAACCTGATGATATGATAATGTTGATATACACAATCGCGAAGAACATTAGAATAAGATATAATTTTTTTCAAGCGACAAGTCAAGATTTCAATTTGACAACAAATATGAACCAGTAATCCACAAATGAGAGTGTCACAACCAACATTTATGAATGCTGCGATAGCCAAACTTATCAGTTGATGTATATACATCAAATAAAACAGTATCATTGATGAGTAATCAAATGGTAACCATGCCCTATACGTTAATTTTCTATTTTTAAAATTCATAGATAAAGAAGATAAGATAATACATGACATTGTTACAGCTCCCAGGTATACAAAGCGCCGAGTATTAATTCTAAAATA